GAAACTTTTGACCTGAGTAAAGGCATCTTGCGGTCCCATGGCAGGTCCTTTGGCTGACAGGCCATCATGTGTTATTAAAGCAGTCTGCTTCTGTGCTAGTCTATCAAATTGATTTTTATTTTCCTATCGGTTGCGATGGTTGCAGATGTAGCTTATCAGTATCGTGATAACATGTTATCACATAGAATAAAGTTATGCAAATTTGTTAATCATAAGTAGTTCTTGCAGACAGCTATCCCGATAACTTCTCATTTAAATCTTTCTCCAGGTGGTGTTTTGTCTTTACATGCTTTCAGCTTTGGGACGGTTGGTGTCAGGTCTTACAGTTGCCTATGCTGGTACGTTGTTTGCTTAAATCTGTTACCTCTTCGTAGCTGAGATTGTTTTCGTAGTTTGGTCTTTTAAGATAAAAAGCAGGTTGGCAACTTATGTGTTGTTTTGTCAGATTCAGTAGCCACCGTCTGATTTGCCACTTGCTTTTGTTTTGTTTTGTTTTTTGTTTTTTGATTGATACAAAGTCTCACTATTTAAATACATTCATGTAAATTTTCCTTTTTGGCCTGACTTGTATCTTTGTTTTAAACATCACATATATATAACTTTCCTAGAATCTGTCTTCTCCTGAAACAGGATTATGCTTGTTTTGCCTTTATATGCTAGCTGAGAACAGTCAGTCAATCAGTGCATGTTTGTCTCGATTTCTGAGGAGAACGAATGATCTAGCGGAGGAAGATGCTGCAGAGCAAGATACTATGTAGCTTATGTTTTCTGTAACCTCCATGTACAATGAATCTTTGTATTTTTGTGTGTGGGTGTATTTCGAGCTACTCATAGTATCTGTGTACATATGACTTTGTGCATGACCCCGATTGGGGTGGTACAATATTGTTAACCAAGAGATACAATTTTATGATACAAACTGTTGAATAATTGACACCATTGCTGAATAAATGCCCGTCATTAGTGTTTGCTACAACCTTTGAGTTGACATTGTTGATTAGAATTTTTACTGACTGGAAATGAAAAATCGGAAAAATGAAAGTCCAAAGAAAAACTATGTTTAACAGTGCTCTGCTTTACCATGAACAAGTTATATTTTAGAAAATTTTGGAAACAAAAAAGGTAATTTGGGAACTATGGAGAAAAGATGTCCATCTTGTTGTCCCTATGCTGATTAAGGAAAAAGATATACATCCAATATTGCCGTCAACAGGCCCTTAACTGTTGAATGAGCTTGGTAAGTTAGATTCACCTGTATTTTGAGGCAAGCATGCACATTTTACTTTTTACTGATTTAATTCCAACTTGTAAACTATTGATCTTATATAAATCTAATGGGTCAAATGCAATGATTAGTGAGATAATCTACATCAGTACAACAGTAACACCAACACACATTAGGAAAAGAGATCAAAGTGGAACTATTAGCTCTCTATATTAACATAAAACCTATACAGTCGCCAAGAAAAGAATATACATAATCAAGCCTTACATCAATTCATGGAAGGCTTTCAAAACAATATAAACTAAGCTGCACCCATTATAGGAAAAGCTGATGGCTTTTGGCACCCAGTGGTTGGGATCACAGGGGTTGAATCTCTAGGGGACATGAGGGCCAAAGGAAGAATCTGTTGCTCCATCTCCTCTGCCTCTTCAGAGCTCCAACTTCCAAGTGGTATGAAACTACCATAATCAAGAACACAGTGCTCAGAAGATAACACTGAAGAAACTT